ACTATAACGACACTTTGAATGCACAAAATTTATATCATTTTCATTATTATAACTGAGAATGCACAAAATTTATATCATTTAAAGAATTATCTAATCGTTGCCACATGCTCTATTCAAATACTATAATAAAGCTAGAACTATGTATAAAAGAAATAAGCAAACAAAACCGAAAAAGAAACAATTTTTCACAGAGATTGAGTATTCTCATTCACTAAATTCATTTTCACTTCGCGACAAGGCAAAAATAAAAAAACTCAAAATATCTGTATTAAAAATTACGAATTAAATCTTAAACGCTTTTCCTCGAAAAAAATTCCAGAAAGGATTAAGCATGATTTAAATAATAAATGAAGGCGTTATCTTTGTTGTTGCGAAGCAAAGTTTCTCTAGATTGGCAACAAGTCCGTCTCAGCTGTTTTCAAATGTAACAAAGCAATGGCCGCCATCAAATAGGCTTAGCGGCACTTAAAAAATTTCTAAATTGTTGAATAATTCTAAAAATATTGCATACCGGAAGATAAAAACAACATAATTCAATCATTTTTAAAGCAAAAAATGTACAATTTACAAACATGTAAGAGTAAAGAAACTGAGATCACTGAACCGGGTTAACAGAGTGGATATATTTTATAAATATATTTATATACGTTTGGCGCGGCCGATTGAACCAAAATACGAGGTGCACATCTACAATGTTATAGTAGTCTTATATACAAAATTTCAACGTTCTGAGAACTACTCGTTTTTGAGTTTATGCGAGATACGTTCGTACAGACGGCCACGAAAAATTCTCTTCAGAATTCATTTTAAAGCAGTTCTTTAGTTTTTTTTTTGGAGGAAAAGAGTCTTTTATTCTGTCCTTACGTACAGATATCACGCAAAAACATCATTAAATTGCATTCGAAAGCGGTCAAAGTGGATATTTTCGTTGAAATATGCTGCCTGAAGCTTTTCGCGATTACAATACTTCCTTTTTACTTGGTACAAGGAAGTAAAAACCAGGACAAACATTTTCAAATATTAAACAATATGCAGAAACAAACTTTCTTTTTATACAATTATTTTGCTTCCTTTGAAAAAATAAAATTTTATTTTGTGCTGGTTCTACTTAAGTATATAAGGTAGTTCTCCCCCCTTCTTGGCATGCCTTCGTGGTGTGGTGGTCTGCACACTGGGCCGGTATTCCAGAGGTCCACGTTTCGATTCCCGGCGAAGGCGTTGTTAATTTTTCATCTCTCCGGCTTTTCCAATTAATCTAATGTCTCTACACCAGTACTAAATGCAGTTGTAAAAGCAAGAGACTCTTGTTCAGTTCAAAGTGTCACAATAGTTAAGTTGTTGCAATCAATAAGATCGTATAATGTTAATTTATGTGGTAGTTTATTATTAGTATTATTTGCTTTTCTGATTTAGAATGCATTGTTTGTTTTCGCTTCAACATGTGTTGTTCCTTAAACTTTTCCTTGTGTTGATATATATCATAATATATTTTTTCAACATTAATCAACAATGCATGCTGAAATGTCGACAGTGAGTCTTTGCACTTTGTAAGGTTATTCTCCCGCTTTCCTAGGCATGCCTTCGTGGTATAGTGGTTCTGCACGCTGGGCGTGTATCCAGAGGACCGTGATTCGATTCCCGGCGAAGGCGTTGTTAATTTTTCATCCCTTATGCTTCCAAAATACCTAATGTCTCTACAGTGGCGCCCGAACTGAAAGGATGTTGGATGATGATTCTCCACACCCAGGATTTGGTGTTTGGGTCCCCTAAAAAAGTCCATTTTATTGTGGAGGCACCTAATAGGCGGGCACCGTTACCTCCTGAGACAGACAATTTACATCAATGCCTTCTCCGGAACTCGAACCCAGGTCCCTAACTACTATAATCTCTGGGAGGCCTGCTTCGATATATGGTTACAAGCTAGTTATAAATTATGGACAGTAACTTATCAGTGACATCTAATTAAATACATTGATTGTTTTTTTTAAAAGGGTCAAAACTAAATATTTTATTGAAACAATAGGACAGCCAGGAAATATAAACAAAAGTTACCATCCTGGTCAAAATAATACGTATGGCCAGGTTGCGCAATAGACTCAGGATCAACCAACACACAGCACAGAACAATCGATGAGTTAGCTGTTACTTCTAACGAAGTATAAAGGAAAAGGTGACATTACATAGTAGAAAAACGGGTCCACGAATGTTGGAACCACTAATGGCAGTATGGTTTTCTTTAGCCATCCTAAATGTAATCATTTACATGCACTGTGAGGAAACAATGGGGGAGGAGAGAAAAAACATATGCGTGTTTATGTGACATGTGAAAGTGATAGATTATGTACATTGTATATGAATATTTATAATTTTTTTTAGGTTTGAGGTATAATAATTTATTAACTACACTTTCCATTTCATTCGTTAATGATTATTTTTACTAGTCAAATTTTAAAATGTAATTTACGGGTTTTATGGTTAGAGAATTGTAGTCCTTTTTGTGAATAATTTAGAGTCAAGCAAAAGTCCTTTTCCAATTTTTCCCTAGCAAAACAATCATATTACTGTTAACAATGCTAAATATTGCTAAGTTAAATTTAATTCGTTTTATCTTTCTCTCTCTCATTTTTTAAAATGCTTATATTCTAATACAGTTTGATATCAAATTTACAATGCAAACTATGAGAGAATTTTAATAAATATTATATAGAATTTTGTTCTCATGCCAATATATTTCTTTTCTTTCTTTTTTTTTTATCAGTTTGTAGAAAATTATGTTCACATCATTTTCTAGCAGTAATTTTCCGAAAGAACTGTGTAGGCTTGAGGAACTGCCAGCATGTTGATACACTAAAAGAGGATAACAGCAATTTCATAACACAATCGTAAGATCTTTGCCTTGGTTTTTTTAGTTATCCAAACAGCAAAATATTGCAAGAAAAGAACCATTTTTGAGAAAACGGGAGTCATCTCAGCGGTTTTCATCATTGAAAGAGGACAGAGGTAGGGGATCCGTAAAAGGAGTCGGCGCATCCCGTCATATTTAAATTAAAAATAACCTCTCACCTCCATGAAAGTTTTACATTCGTCCATGCTTTGCTGTGACCTTTTTTTTTAATTGACCATTCCTCTCGCTTCAGATATTATCCAAAAAGTTGATTTTAAGAGAACAAAACTTTTATATAATGTCAATTTTGAAACCCTCTGAGCGTTACGGGCTTAGCCTTGAAATTTCAAAGTTCCTCAAATTGTCATGAATAAGTGATATTTTCTTGATTTTAATGAAACAATGACTCTTTCATTTTGTACCTTGATTCCTTTTCTTCCAATATACATCCAAACTGAAATCAGATACATTAAAAGCTAGCAGAAATTTTCATGTATAATGAATGTGGAAGGCAACCTTCTGTACGGAATTTTCCGGCCTTAACGCTGAGAGGGTTAAAATTAGGAACGGAACTTGAATATATACAAAATCGAAATTTGCATTCTCAAAGAAGCTAGGCTTATGAAAGAGCAGCTACACTTTTATTTCTAAGTCCCCTGCTAGCGAACATGTATTGAGTTGGGTACTGATCACTAGGCAAATTTAAAATTGTTTCAAACTTCAAGCTCGATGTTGAGATAATTTCGTTAACCATCATGATAAATTTGTAACAAAGAGTAAGAATAACATCGCATTACTAAATTTCAAATAGGTGATATTTTATTACAGGTGCTAAGGCAAAAAGAATCATACTACAGTCTCTTGTTGCCTTAGCAGTTCCAATAATCGTTATTCGGCGTGCTATTTTAACTCAACTTCTGTTTTGCTTAATTATTAAAATTTCAAACTATTACTCTTTTTGGTACATTACATCTGAAGTTTACTATAAGGGATTTGTGTATAAAAGCATAGTAAACGATTTACAAAGAATCTAGTCAGTCTGATAGGTTACATTATAAGGTATTTCTCCCGCCTTCTTGGTATGGTGGTCTGCACGCTGGGCGCGTATTCCAGAGTTCCACGGTTCGATTCCCGGCGAAGGCGCTGCTAATTTTTCAATCTCTCTTGCTTCCTAAATAAACCTAATGTCTCTACAGTGGCGCCCGAACAAGACAGGGTGGTGGATGATGATTATCCCTACCCAGGATTTATCGATTGGATCTCCTAAAAAGCCCAGTCGCTCTTTAAGGGGAAATATATAAGGTATTTCTCCAGCCTTCCTAGCTTGCCTTCGTGATGTAGTGGTTCTGCACGCTGGGCCGGTATTAAAGAGGTCCGCAGATTAACTGCAAGTCTGCAACATGTTTTTCATTAATAATTATTTAGAATTTAAGCATTGGCTAAATTTATGAGAGCATAAATGTAAAAACGCACTTTCAAAACATGCATTCCATGAAGGCTTGATATCCAATATTAAATTATAGTTTGAAAAATAACTATTTCCCATTCTTGAGCAATAAGTTTTCAGCTGGGAATACGTCGTTAGTTTGAGCAACTGTTAACGATATAATTGGTAATAGTACTTATAAACCCAGCTAAAGATCAATCCATCCAGCTTCTATCTTTAAATCATGTTGAGAATATAAAATTTTTAGCATTGCAACTTACCGAAGAAAACTAAAAGAGACGTGCTGAGAAAGATTTCTTTCATGTCTCAGTGAACACAATGAATCTTCAAACCATAAAGATGTAGAACTACTCTTCATTGTGCCTAATGAATTTATCAGTTGTCAGAAACTGAACGCAAGTTTCTTTCAAACATCAAAATTGTGTGTCCTCGAGTAAAAATGTTTGATGAAATGTTAATGGAAGAATTTGTGCAAACATTCTGTAGATGAAATTCTAGTCATTACTGTAAACGTTTATGCTACTCTACTTCGAGTTTCATGATCATTAAGATGGCAAAATAGTGAAAGCTGCTAATAATTTTTGATCATTTCGAATTTTGAATTTCGTTAATTTGTGATAATATTTCCAAGTGAATGAAGTTTCCATACAACTAAACATAGCTTTCCAAATTTAGTACCGGCGTGTGTTTTGTGTTTGTTAAGTCTGTACTTATGTAGCATTTAATATTTTGTCAGCATTTATGCGTTTAACTGGTTATAAGTGTTTGTAGTATTTTATATTGTTATTTATAAAAAATGAAGCAAGTATTAATGGTTGCAGAAAAACCGTCCTTAGCTCAATCTTTGGCACAAATTTTATCTAATGGACATGTGAAACAACGCAAAGGACTGAGTTCAGCTTGCGCTGTTTACGAATATGATGGAACGTTTAACTCTCAGACTGTCAAATTTAAAATGACTTCTGTATGTGGTCATGTGATGAGTACAGATTTCATCCCAAAGTATAATAATTGGGATCGAGTTGATCCAGTAAGTTAAACGAAACATTGAATAATAATTCAGTGGATACTTATCAGCTGAATACGATGCATAGTTATATGAAGCAGCAGATTTAAAAGTTGAAAACATTTAATTTTCACATCGAAAGCTCGTAATAACATTGCAATGAATGTTAAGAATTTTCTTCAATAATATTTTTATTAATAGCAGGCAGTCATTTTTTTTTTTAAATATATAATTGTATATTGAATTACTATGACAATTAAAAACTGTGACAAGGCTCCAAGTTAGCGTAAGAATCTGCAGGGATTTGGCTGCTAAAATATCGGACTATTTTGACAGAATCGAATTTGGTATGACCACCGAAAGTGGCGATTTGTCGCTAAATATATGTAATAGCACTTGTACGTCCAAAACTTAAGTGTGAGTCAGTTTAGCAGTTCCAGTGTAAAAAGATTGAATTCCTGTTTTTTTTTTTTTATCGGAATCAGGAATGCAGTTTTTATAAAAACATAATCAGTCGCTTTAGCTAGTGTTCCAGCACTTGGGGAACAACTGAAGAATTTGCACCTCTTTCTGCGCGCGAAGAATGGAAAACATTTCATTAAAATTCGTAGCATCAGTTGGGTGCCGCCTGCATGCTGCATCCGGGGACAGATGGCCCCCATTTGCCCCACCCTAGCTACGCCACTGAATATAAAATAATAACTGGTAAAATCATAGTGTATGGTACAGCTTTGGCGCAATTTTGAAAATTGTCACTAACACCAAAAAGATCCATTTACCGTGTTACTGCTCATCATAAAGTCGCCAAATGCCGTGTGTACCATATACAGTCAAAAGTCTTTAATCCGGACTCGTCGGGATTTCGGCGATTCCGGATTATAGATCATCAGTTTAAATCTGGTAAAATGGCATGCAGAAATTATAAAATGAAAAATATTAAACAGTAATTTATGAAATAAAGAGCAATTATGATCTAAAGGGTATCAAAATTTATATAAAAAAAGCTTAATGTTTATTTGTTTACTTTATTAAACATTTCTTCCAACACGCGCATGGGTAAAGCATACATTATACGCATATTCGAAATTAGAAAATTACAACCAGAAAACTATTTGATGTGTATTCGTGATAATTATAATGGCGAGGAATTTGATTTAAGTCATAACAAAGACGGAGTACATCGAGATGAAATACTACATTTAGTAAGGAATTATAAGTCGAATAAAATAAAAACATCTGCCCTGAGGATAAGAATAGTGCTGACAGATCAACTTCCAGTTCATTGTGCGCAGCCCCCCTTTGCAGTGCAGCGTGAAATTGATAAACAGATTTCGGAATGGTTAAAGAAACAAAGGATATGCCTCTATCCATTTTTTGCAGCAATTCCACTGTTTGTTTGATGACATCGAAACATACTTTCTCTTTCTTGATCCTTTGGCAGCTCCAGCATCGGGACTTCTATTTGACATAATCGAAAGTTCCAACTTACTTTTATAAAATTGCTCTAACAGTCTGCAAAAAATAATAAGCCGTATCCAATTCGAAGATTAAGGAACAACGCAATCTGCAACAATAACTGAAATAGATAATTAGATAATTTTAGCTTAGCTTATACCGCCTGTTGTACATTAAACGCACATGCGTAAACACATATTATGCGCATGCATAAAGTTATATTACGCGCATGCGTCATCGCATTATGCGTTGACGCGTGTGCAGAAAATTTGTAGCTTTGAGGTCCGGATTAACGACTTTTGACTGTACTAGGATTAAATTTAATGATGAGTAGCAAATAATAATGGAAAATGATTCTCCATAAGTTTTTAGGTCCCACAGTTTTGTCGCTAAACACATTTTTGCCAAGTTGCGCTGAATTATGCTATGTATCTAAATTATTTATGACTGTATCTTCATTCATTTTATGTATTCAAGTGACATTAAGCAGAAATTTATTTATTTAAAAACTTTGCATCGTAAATTTAATGAAGAGGTTTTATTCCAGTTTCTACATTGTTCTTATGTATGATTATTTAAATTCTTTCTCAGTTTTATTTGGAAGATAAGGATCTATTTTTTAAAATGAGCAGTTTGTGTTTCTAAAGATTTTCATATGGAAAATAAACATTAATACCCTTCAATATGAATATGCTTGTAATATGTATATGCGGGTATTTTAATGTGTGTTAGTTTTTTTTTTCTTGGTTTATTTTGGGTGTATATGTGTGTACACATATATATTATGTTCAGAAAAGTTCTAAACTTTTCTGAACATAATTCATGCATGTTCATACATAGAATTAAATCTTAGCATATTGCTTTATAATTTTGTAGTATCTTTTATAATCTTACGTTGCACGTATTATGTACATATGCTAGGAGAAAAAAAATTAATTTATGAATTTCAAAATTTATTTGAAGAGGACTTGAAAAGTAAATTCTTGTGCAGTTGCCATAAGGTTAAATTTTTAATTGAGAATATATAAATAAAAAATTATCTCGAAGGAAAAGGGAAGTGAAGTTTATGTGTGTAAATGTGAAGTAAATGCGTACTATGCTGAAATAATAATAATAAATAATAATAATAATAAAATAAATAAATAAAATAATTAAAAAAAATTAAAAATTTTCAGGTTGTTAAATTACGTCCAAATGGATGTTTTTTTTTTTTTTTTTTTTTTTTTTTTTTTTTTTTTTTAACGTTTTTGTGTGTTACCTTTATTTATTAAATATCCTGTTCTTTATACTTTAAACCATAAAATTCAGTTCAATAGCAATGTCACAAAATAATTTTAATATGAGCATATCTTTAGAATTTCCGATACACAGTGCGCAGCCTGGAGATAAAAAGGTTCCCCTCATAAAGTGTTCCCATTGTTCGCTTTTGAATCATTGAATTTGTTAATAAAAAATTCGTTGAAGTTTTACAAAATATGAAATCGGTAATAAAACAAATTTCAAATTTGGGCTTTCAGATGCCCAAATGCAGTAGGATTACATCATTCAAAATTGGTTGGCTCTAGGTAATATTATTTTATCACACTGTGAGAAACATATATACATTGACGTGGTTTCTTCATTATTTAATTTTGGTTAATCTTTGGGTTATGGTAACTTGGCGAAAATTTGTCGGACAACCCTGCTACAGCGACCTCCTAGTTTTTGTTTGGACGCCATTTTGTTTCCACAAAATAAAGGCATGTTTTTTTTTTTTTTTTTTTCTCAACAATCTGCTAGCTGAATTACGCTTATGCTAGAATTTTTATGGAACAAAAGTGCTTAATCATGACGAAGATTAGGTGCAAAATTCGGAGAAAGTGCAGTATCGCCTACTGCTTGCCATGTTTTTATGAATTGCGCATACACGTTATCATCCATGTACACATCGACCTATTTTCACTTAAAAAAACATCCCAGAATTTTTTTTTTTTCTCTCAACAATCTGCTAGCTGAATTACGCTTATGCTAGAATTTTTATGGAACAAAAGTGCTTAATCATGACGAAGATTAGGTGCAAAATTCGGAGAAAGTGCAGTATCGCCCACTGCTTGCCATGTTTTTATGAATTGCGCATACACGTTATCATCCATGTACACATCGACCTATTTTCACTTAAAAAAACATCCCAGAATTGCAAAAAAATGGCATTGTGCACATTCTTGACTTTATCCATGTACACTGCTAAAGTCTAGCTAGTAACCTTTATCACCTTACCAAAATGTCGCTAAACTACCTGTTACCATATTCCAAAGATTAGCCTTAATTTCTTTAAATATAATGCAAGGCTCTAACATTTGGTGGCAGCAGTTTGAAAAGTGATGCGCAGTTTAAAGTGATTTGACATTCAAATCAAAAACAATAGTACATCAGGGACAAAGCCTCTTTGGTCTAATAATAAAAAAAAAGGCCGGAATTTGTAATTAATTATACTGGAATATGTAATTACAATGCTTAATTAATAAAACATAAAGCAATTAAAACAAGGGAATCAGTGTTAATTTCATATAAAGATACTGACTTTTCAAGGGGACTTGGAATCTTTCCATATAACCACCACTGATTCATGAGGATCGCGTTTACCATTTCACATTTCTGAACAAATTCCCCATTCCAATTTAAAATTTTCTAATGAATTTGTAAAATCTCAGTTTAAATTTTGTAGAAGTTCAGAAGTGTGAAATAATTCCCTGATGTGATGATAGTCAATCAGTTACAATTAATTTAATAAATAAATAAAAACTATAGTATTCATACAGAAAAATACTTGAAAATAAGAATAAATGAAAAAATTAAATAAAAATTAAGAAGCAAATGTCAAATAAACAGTGGTCTTTTATATATTAAAAAGCCAAAATCAATTTTGTACCCTAACCAAAGGTAATTTGAAGATGGTGCGCTCACAGCAGTATGATTGAAGCCACTAAAGGTTGCCATGATCAAAGTTTGGGAGAGCCCATTTTACTGTTATGTTACTAGCTGTATTGGCATGAAATTGAGACACGATGGAGGTTGTAATGGAATGAATTTTCTTATAGTGTGGCATGTTTTAGCAAAATAAAATGACTGGAAATCATAGTAAAAATTATTTGTTGAGAATGCTAAAAAATGAAGAAATGCAGAGTAAAAATGATAATTTTGTAATTAACTCTGGCTAAAGTCATTACAAAAGGGAAGAAAAAAGTTACATCTAAAACTTATAAACATATAAAAAGTAAGCAGGTCAGAATATAGAGAGTCAAAAGTCGTTAATCCAGACTCGTCGGGACTTCGGCGATTCCGGATTATCGATTTTTCCGGATTATAGATCATCAGTTTAAATCTCATAAGATGGCATGCAGAAATTCTAAAATTAAAAATATGAAACCGTAATTTATGAAATAAAGAACAATTATGATCTAAAGGGTATCAAAATTTGCAAAAAGAAAAAGCTTAATATTTATTTGTTTACTTTATTAAACATTTCTTTCAATGTAAGTTGTTTAAGTTTTGCTTCGTTTCATGTGATAATACTTTCTCTTTAATTCTAT